GTGGTGGGGGGGCGGGGCGGGGCCCGCGGTTTTTGGCCCGTCTGCGGCCGCCGTAGTGGCTCCCGGAAGTGTTTCCATGGAAACGGGAGGAGCCCGGGCCCGGCCAGGGCAGAGATGGAGAAATACGAGCGGATCCGGGTGGTGGGGAGAGGGGCCTTCGGGTGAGGGCGGCCCCGGGCGGCGCCGCGAGTGGGGCACGGCGGATCCCCAGGCCTTTTTTACCGTGGCCACACGTGTGCGGGGAGCGCCGGGCCTGTGGCACTGCGGGGTAGGGTGGGAGGCCGCAGGCGGCGTTACCATAGCAACAAGGCTCACGGGCCCTGTGGCCATGGCAACGCGGGGGTCAGCCGGCGTGTGGCATCCTGCGGGGGGGGTGTCCAGGCCCTGGCTGTTGCCATGGCGATGGGGTGACACGGCACTGGATGTGTGACACCCCGGGGGGGGGTGGATTGCAGGCACTGTTACCATGGCAACGGGGGGGCAGGGGCCATGTGTCACCCCAGGGTGGTGGCCGGGCCCTGTCCCCCCGTGCTGAGGCCCTGTCCCCGTCCCCGCAGCATCGTGCACCTCTGCCTGCGCAAGGCCGACCAGAAGCTGGTGATCCTGAAGCAGATCCCGGTGGAGCAGATGAGCAAGGACGAGCGGCTGGCGGCGCAGAACGAGTGCCAGGTCCTCAAGCTGCTCAGCCACCCCAACGTCATCGAGTACTACGAGAACTTCCTGGAGGACAAGGCGCTCATGATCGCCATGGAGTATGCCCCAGGTGGGCCCCAATCTCCCCCAGCACCCGCAGCTGGTTCCTTGGCAGGCCCAGGGGATGCCGAGCCCTCAGCGCTTGGTGGGTCGGGCTGCTCTGGCTCCACGTTGTGCGCCTTGTAAAGATCCTGTGCTTTGGACCCCCAAAGAGCCCAAACATGTCTCTCTTGAACAGACACTTTTGTAGAAAAGGATCTGGAGATCCTGATGGACACCAAGTTGACCGTGAGCCAACTGACCGAGCACTGGCACAGGCTGCCCAGGGAGCTTGTGAAGTCACCATCTTTGGAGAGATTCAAAAGACAGGTTGTGGTCCTGCGCAACCAGCTGTCGGTGGCCCCCCTTGAGCAGAGGACTGGACCAGATGACCTCCTGAGGTCCCTTCCAACCTCAGCCATCCTGTGATTCTGTGATTATATGCCTTACGCCTGCTGGTCCTATCCAAAACAAAGAGATTTCTAACACCTCTGTCACTGCTAAGTGTGTTACCATCTGCCCTTGGCTTAGGTTTCACATACATTTCCCTGTGTCAGCTCTCAGCCATGCTGTTGGTCTCACAGCTCTGTGTGGGAAGGTGTGATTTCTAACGAGATTTGCTGTGGAGGGTCAGATGAAATCAACATTTGCATCAGGGTTTGTTAAAAGTTGTACGTGAGCCCTGAATCTGGACCTCCCCTTCTCGACAGGGGCCTCTCCATGCCATGTGGCCTCTCAGACTGCAAGAAGTCTCTTTTGCAGAACAGGCTTATCTTGTTCTGCCATCGAGGTTTATGTCCTCCAAGAGCTGTAATTTTAGTGTTTCTTTTCCTGCTGCCTTTGACAATATGTCAACAGCAACTTCTCTGTCGCTGTTTCTTCGTCCCACCAACTGTGCTGCCATTGTTCTCCGCACAGTCTCGGCAGCATTGGAGGATGTGCTGCGTGTCCCACTGGGACATGCTTTTTCCCGCGCGCTTGGCTTGTTAAGATGCCGTGGCTAAATCCCCCTGGCTTTTAGTCTGGGTTTGCGCTGCCCTGTGCAGCCACCCTTGCCGATAGCCCTTTGTTGTTCTTTGCAGGGGGCACGCTAGCGGAGTTTATTCACAAGCGCTGCAACTCCTTGCTGGATGAGGATACCATCCTGCATTTCTTCGTGCAGATCCTCCTGGCTCTCCACCACGTGCACACCAAGCAGATCCTGCACCGCGACCTAAAGACTCAGAACATCCTCTTAGACAAGCATCGCATGATCGTCAAGATCGGAGACTTTGGTATCTCCAAAATCTTGAGCAGCAAGAGTAAAGCCTACACGGTGAGTGGCCTGGCTTTGCGGGGGAACTACTTGCCACCATGGCAGCGGGCTGGAAACTCTGGACTTGGCTCATGATAGTCTCTGGGAAGCTGCTGTAGGCAGTGAGGTTGGATGTAGCGTACTTGCAGTAGACCACATCCATGTGCCACAATGCTGCTTTGCTCCTTGGAGTTTATACAGGCTGATGTCTTCACGACCAAGTTTGCTGCAGAAAGGTGAGAAAGACCTGCCTGCCCGAGCCTGGGAGAGGATGGGGTGTCTGGGCCCACTGGTGAGGGTAGACAGGGTTCCTCCCACTGTCACAGTGGGAGAGGTGGTAGTTGCAGGCTCGTCTGACACATACTTGGCAACCAAATTCCTGCTTGTGCCCCACTGTCCTGCCTTGTCTTAATCTCCTCTCTCTGCTTGAGACTTGAGTATCATTCCGCAGCTCGTCTAATCTGAGTAGACGTTTATATCACGCTCATCGCTCTGGGCTCTGATTCCCTCATCTGGATAGGAGCAAAATTAGAGGTAATCTCTGTATGTGCAAGGGAGGTCACCGGAAAGGCAAATCCCTGTGTTTTTTACTGAGATTGTCAGGCAAATGTTGACACCAGGGAACAAAAGCCCAGTTCCACTAAGCTTTGGTTGGTGGTGCTCTAGCCAGCCTGTGCACTGGGCCCTGAAAGGAGCCTTTCTCTTTCCACCTCACTGCCCCAGTTTCACAGCATCATGGTGAATTTCTTTGTCTCTTCTAGGTTGTGGGAACTCCGTGCTACATCTCCCCAGAGCTCTGTGAAGGGAAGCCTTACAACCAGAAGAGTGATATCTGGGCTTTGGGCTGTGTGCTGTACGAACTTGCCAGTCTCAAGAGGGCTTTCGAAGCTGCGGTAAGAGGGATATGGTTTACATGTAGTGCAGGGAGCCCCGGCCTCTTCCAGAGGTGAAAATGCATGCTCAGATGACTCTTCTCACTGAGCCTGGAGGTGTGAAGGCAGAGGACAGTGCTGAGAACTTCTTGTTCCTTGGCCTCACCTCTGACCGCCCAGCCACTGTATGTCTCTCTTTTGTTTTCTCTCCAGAATCTTCCTGCCTTAGTATTGAAGATCATGAGCGGGACGTTTGCTCCAATATCAGATAGATATAGCCCCGACCTGCGCCAGCTCATCCTTAGCATGCTGAACCTGGATCCTTCCAAGCGGCCCCAGCTGAATGAGATCATGGCCCAGGCCATCTGCATTCGGCCCCTTCTGAACCTCTACACTGACGTGGGCAGTGTCAAAATGAGAAGGCAAGTGATACTGCCACCTTAGTGTCCCTTGGGAGGGGCTGCCACAGCCCATAACGTGTCTGACCAGCTCACTGTCTCCTCTACAAGCTCCGAAGAGAGCATTGTCCCCATGCAGCTTTCCTGTGTTACCCAAAGTGCGGCTGCTGCAGGCCACGCCTGGCCCTGTGGCTCAGGGCCACGGCAGGTGCTATGGCAGCTGTGGGCTTGTCATGACAGTAACAGTGAACAGAGAGTTGTGAGCTCAGGGGGAAGTGCGCTGATGCCAACTTCCCTCTCTCAGGTGGTTTAAAGCACCTACTGAAACAATTCTGTGAGCTGTTCAGCCGTGGCTTAGGCTCTGCCCAGACCTTCTGTGATCCAGGGCTCTGCAGGACCTCTGGGGCCCAGCTGACATTAAGGACTGGATTTTGGTTTGGCAGGCCTGAAAAACCCTTGGCTCCAGTGCCAACAGTGACCCACAGCCGGACGGGGGGACGAGTGAGCAGTGCCAGGCCGAGGGGTGAGTCCTGGCATGGTGTGTTCAACACAGCTCCATTCAGAAGGACCCTTCCCTTTGGATGTCAGGGGGTCAGACTTGAGCTTCTGGAGAGAGGAAGTTAAGAGACATCACCTTCCCTGAGCCCTGGAGGAGCCCATGGGCACCTTGGCTCTGGGGACCAAGCCGCACTCTTTCTCGGGCTGCCTCTTCCAGGTTTTGAACCCTTGAATCAAGTTTCTGCTGCTCCTGCTGCAAAGGCTGGGAACCAGCTGGTGGTGCTGAGGAGGGATGTCCCAGCACAGGGCAATGCAGTTGGCACCAGTAACAATTAGCTGGAGCTGTTGTGGTGCCGCTTCCCTCAATTCTGGGATAAAATACAAGGAGTCGTTCCCATGTGCTTCTCTCAGCCCTGGCTGGGAGCTCCCCAGCAGCCCCTTGGCAGCCTTGGACCGGTGCTGGTCTGGCCCTGCTGGCTGGCAGGCAGCTCTGCTGGCACCCAGACTGGATGGCTGCTGTCATTTCTCTTCCTGTGGCAGAGTCAGGGCTCTGGGTTCATGATTTCTCTTTGACCCATAGGTGTTCGAGGTGGTTCAGCCAGGACAGGAATCCCTCCTCCGCTGTCATCCATCTACACCTGGGGGAGCGGGATCACCACCCCACTCCGCCTGCCCATGCTTAACACTGAAGTGGTGCAGGTGTCTGCTGGCAGGACGCAGAAGGCCGGGGTCACCAAATCGGGGCGGCTCATCATGTGGGAGGTGAGTGACGGGGAACCTGGGGCAGACAGTGGCCATGGAAGCCTCGGATGTGCGATTTCTGAGGAGGAGATGTTCCTGTGCATAGGCCCTGGCACTGCGTCCCCCAGGACCGCTGTCCAGTCCAGGGTGTGGGTGACACTGCTAAGCCTGTGGGAAGGGGCTCATCTGAGTTCTCCAACCCAGCTCTTGCTGCACGGAGGTGCAGCAGCTGACATGGTTTCTCTCTGCCAGGCTCCCCCGATGGGTGCTGCGGGAGGCCCTTCTCTCCCAGGAGCCACCGAGCAGCTCCAGCCTCAGTTTGTGTCCCGCTTTCTGGAGGGCCAGTCTGGCGTGACCATCAAACATGTGTCCTGCGGCGATCTCTTCACAGCCTGCCTCACGGGTGAGCTGCTGCCTCCTGCCTGCACCTGGCTGAGTCCCAGACCCCTCTGCATGGCAGCTGGCTTGCAAATGCAGCGTGACAGCCTGGGGAGCCTGCTCAGAGCGGAACCCGAGGGATGCACTGGGCTGGGGTGACACAAAGGCCTCTGTGATCTCTTCTGTAACATCAGGTGGGGGTCAGAAATGGCAGGCACGGTCCTCCTATGATGCCACACTGGTCAACTTGGTCCCAAAGGTCTGTTTGGTATGGGGAGGGCCACAAATTGTTGTCCTGGCTGCACTGGTGTCACCTGAAGCCACAACTGGCCTGTGTAGTGGGGACTGCAGTGTGAGGAGTGTCTGAGAAGTTCAGCTTTTCTCTCTCACGTACTCTGTGAGTGTGACGCAGACACAAGCAGTGACCAGCAGTGACTGGCATTGCAGTGAGAAGTCAGTGTGAGCTCCTGCAGGGCCAGTTGTCCTCAGCTGCAGGAAGGCAGGGTCTGAAACCCCCTGGGAGGCTGGGAGGCGTTCTGGCTGGGAGGGGAAGCATGCACACCAGCCCGAGGCTGTGTTTGTGGAGCAAAGCCCTCCCAATGGTCCTCCGGGAGCCCTGTTCACACTTCTGCTGGGGATCAGGGCAGCAAATGACAGATATGCGACCGGCAAACTTTGTAGGCATGTGTTTGTCCTACCTCTCCATGGCGTTTGCCACCCTTCTGCTGGGCGGCTGCTCAGTGATACACAGGGGCTCGGTAAATACACAGTGGCTCTGTGTATTTAACACCTTGACAGACCGTGGAGTTAGCAGCTACGCAGCTGCAATAATGTTATCTCAGTGCTCTCCTATCATCTGCTGTTTGTTTGGCGGGTTGTCACAGCACATCAAGGCTGCTGCTCCTGGGAAGCTCGCTGAAGGCTTCTGGCCCCCACAGCAAGTTAGGAGTGAAAGTGGGTCCAAGTAGAGCCGCTGTCCTGGGAGCCATGGCCAGCCCCACTGGCTCTGTGTGCCTTGCAGGGCCTCACGTGTGCCAGTAACACAACTTCTTTCTGCTTTTCCAGACAGGGGCATAATCATGACTTTTGGCAGCGGCAGCAATGGCTGTTTGGGGCACAGAAACTTCACGGACGTAAGCCAGGTTTGTTGTGAGGATGCTGGGCGCACTGCTCCCCCAAGGTAGAGGGTGGATCATGCCTTCTGCGCCACGTGAGAGGGCTCGTCCCCGCTCCAGGGATGTGCATCCCAGGCATGCTCTGGCATCCAACACCCTCCCCCTCCTCTCCCTGTCACTGCGAGTTTTAAAAGACCCAACCTGCCTCTTTTTTTCTCTCTCCCCCCTACACAATGATCCCTTTGAGCGTGGGGGAAGTCAAGAGCTGCCTTGTGGTTGCTGTTGGCAGGCACCCAGCTTGGAGGCTGCCTCCAATCACACACCTGCCTGCTTCACTCTTGGCCTGCAGCTGCCAGGGTTCACTGAGAAAAGTTATTTTTCAAAAGAGCCAGTATTTAAAGAAGAGCTGTGTGTTTCTGATTGGCTGGGAGCATTAGGGCTGAGGGCCCGTCGCTCCCTTCCAGCTTCTCCTCCCCGGGGGGGGGCCCCCAGCCGATGGCTTCCAGCCAAGCCCAGAGACTGGTGCCATTTGTCGCTGTGGTCAGCTGGCTCGTTTGTTCCTGCTCCGTCCAGACCTGAGCTGCTCGGTGCTTATTGCTGGGGAGGGGAGACCAGTTGGGAGCAGCAGCCAGATCCCAACAAATGGTGCTTTTCACTTGAAGAAGATAATGAGAATGAGACTTGCTGTGGCGAGGTGTCAGATCTAACAGCAGGTCACAGCAGGGGGCTGGGTGAAATATGGAGATCCTGGTCTCTCCACACCCTAACGAATACATGGCTGATAGCTCACAGCTCCTCTGCAGAAGAGCCTTTCAGCCAACGCATCCTGCACCAAGCCCCTGCCTGCTCAGAGCGTGCGTTAACAGCCCTTCGCACTCCCCACATGGGCAGGGGGGCGAATCCCAGCCCTTCGGCTGAACCTATTCCCTCTGCAAACTGTTGTGCTGGCTGCTTTCTTCCGCCCCAGAGATGTTTGCATTATCTTCTGTGCTGTGTGCACGTAGTCTCTAAACCCTTTGAAGACTATTTGGAACAAAAAAAGTTCTCTGGTGTTTGTGTTGGATGAAAACTGGGATGCTGCCAGCGCTGTGTTGAGGCTGCGGGGGCTGGGTGGGAGGGATGGGAGCAGCCGGGCAGGCTGGGAGGTCTCGGCTGGCGGGTGGCGGCCTTTCCCCCCCCGGCCCCGGATTTGGGGGGGCCGCCGGGGGGCG